TTTCCCAGCCAAGACGAGCTGTGGAAAGTGGCGCAGCCTGGGCCTTGCCACTTCCAGTGGCTCCCCTTGGCTGGAAACGGCAAACCTGAGCCGATGTTAGCCACAAGGCTCTGTAGCTGCGGACCCTTTAAGTAAACAAAGTGGTACTGGCCCAAAGTGAGCCTGTGGTTTATACTATACCTCTGCCATTATAGCACTTAAGTACATGTGAAGGGTACCTTACAAATCAAATAGTCAACCAACTCTGAAGAACATTTCTACTGAGGGTTATTGCTCTCTGGTTGGTATTCTATTTAGGTTCCCTTGAATGCTACTGAAATAGCTTGATAAAAGCATTCTCTACGCTGGGAAATTCTTGAGAGTCCACCCAGAATTCAGACATTTCCAAGACTTGTTTCACTACTGCTTCATAGCATCTAAGTAGCACTGAAATGTACCTACAAGTTTTAAATGACACTATTGGTGCCCACAATACACTATAGAAATTTGGACTCAATCTTCTGATGCTAGGAATAGGAGGGAAAAAAAAGTAGCGAACATCTCCAAGGCAGAGATCACAACCCTTCATCTACTGATGCTCATATTCAGTGAAACTTACTTGAAACCCCACAAAATATCCAGATTTTTGTGTTACAGATCACTCCCTTCCCCTTCTAAGGTCTGAGAACATTGTGTGATGACACAACATGTATAGTATGCTGCTATTCCCAATCAGAACATGGCACATTAGAGAGAGTGCATGCATAAGAACTCAACCCTCCTGGCTTTTAATCAGACTAGAGGAAGTTTAACTTGGTCATAACTCTGATGCCAACATACCAGGCCAACAAACATGGGATAGGGAGAGAAGGACAACAAAACCGGACAAAGCAGTAGAAAAGACAAGACAGACAACGTTTCTATATAGTGCACACACATTAAAGATAACTGCAGCTTCCCCTAAAATGATTTAATTTTTAAAATTTAAAATCAAAGTCTCAAACCTTTCCAACTATGGGCAGCTCCACAGATCCCCAGGTGTCAGCTCCCCAGTGCACTAATCCCGACAGAAAGTCAGCTGTAATAATTCCTGCAACTGCAAGAAAACAAGAGTTAGGAATCCAGAGTATTGTTTGTGTCCACAGTCCCACTGAGAAAAATATCCCACCAATGCTATTCTCTGGACAGATGTACACTCCCAAAACACAAGAAACGTCTGGCCACTCTGAATGCACAACGGTCAACTTTCATGAAAAATGGGTGATCTTATTAGAGGCCATTAAAAGATTAAGTTTTCTTTTAACTGACAGCGACATCTTGGCTTTGACCTTTAATCTTAAATAATTTTCATACCACTCAGTCTAGATGTTTCAAAATAATTTACAAAGTCAACTAAACCCATTACAGCTTGAACCTCTCTAGTCTGGCATGATTTTAATTAGCTGGGTGTCCACGTATAGGTGTGGCTAAGTTTCCAGCAGTCCTATAAAATGTGTTTACAGCCACCAGTCCTGGCTTTCAGTGTTCTGTTTGGTTTAGTTCTAACGCTCCCCTAAATGTCTTCTAAGAGCCCAGCAAGCAGTGGACAGGTGGGTTATGTTGCTAGATGATACTGAGCTCCTGAGGTTTGGCAAACTCTGGTTTGGCAGTAGTCAGGTCCTGCGAGTGCCAGGCCAGAGAGGTTCAATCTGTACTTCTAAAACCTAGCTTTACATTGAATATGATCCTCACTCAAGTGCCGTGGGCCCGGGGCCAGCACCGCTGCCCTGG